CCTTCGCGCTAAATTTTTTACATTGGACTTTACCTTTGCGGGCGGGGCTGGTCGATATTTCGACCAGCAGTCAGGTGGGGGACTTCATTTAAGAAATTCATTGAATTTATTTATAAATTTCACGTCTAATATAAAGTCGATTTTAACTCATATCCCGCCCTTAAAAGGTTAAAGGTTATTGCTTTTATTTTCATTTGTAAAAATTATATTTATTTTTTGAAAAAAAGAAACAGTTTCCAACTTTCACATGTTTTATCAATGTCATGATCCTGAGCAACATTCAAAAGGTTTTAGCTAGTGTTCGGACGCCATGGATGATGCTAATGCTGACGGTACTCCAACTTTCAAGCTTCATAACTCAAGATCTATTTCATAAGAAAATATTTTATCTATATGTTTTGGAAAGCTCTTGAAGTGTGCTACAAGAATATTTATTAATGAAAAATGGGGGGTTCTATTTAAAAAATTCAAAGTGGCCTTGTTCTGACCTTGACGACGCCACTCAGGGTTAAACCAATGTTATCATCTTATGTCCCCCTCGAAGTCCCAAAACTTTTGTCTGAAACATTTTTCCCTAAAATGCACTGTCCAAGAGATATTTGAGGTGATCGATTAAAATGGGACACTCTGTATAAATCTTTTGATAACAAATGGTTTCTTAGTAATTTTCTTTGTAATTTTCCTTTTTGTATTTCTATTTGTTGCAGAATAATTTAATTTCTATTGATTTTATTTTGCTTGATAAATTTTAATTTAAAACACAATGAATAATAGGCCAAATACGAGCAGACAAACGTTTAAGATGTATAATTTATTTGTTCATAGAAAAATTAATAACAGCGATACCGGTTTCAGCCTTACTCGGCCTTTATCAATCGCAATAACCACTGTAACGACCCGTGTCTTACTTATTCTACTACGCAGGATGGATTCTGGTAGAGGTGTAATGCACAACAATGACGCTCGTTCGTATACTCGTAATTCGCACTTTATTTAACTATGTCACACGCTTCCACCTTCACTTCCCATTTCACACTACTACCTCGCCTCCCCCCCGCTCTCGTCCTACGCGGTGGTGTCGGCGGTCAAGTCCGTGGTGTCGATAATGTCGGTCTCTGAGGTGCCGCTGCTAGTCGAGGTCGCGGTGGAGTCGGTCGACTCTGGTACCGGTCTCCACATCCCTTCCTTATTTTGTAGTTTCAACGTTAACCGTTTACCCGGCTTCCGTTCTGCAGTTTCTTCTGAGGTCGACGGGGGTTCCTCGGTAGGTGGGCTCTCGGTTCCCTTGGTCGCTTCCGACGCCAGCGGTTCCGGTACCTTTTTAACATGGCTGACGTTCCTGCGGACGATCTTATCGTTTCCCCATAGCCTGACCTCGTTATTCTCCCGTTCTATTACGACGTACACTGTTGGATCGAACGTTGACATTAGCTTATGGGGAAAAATCACATTCTTCAGTACCACTTGATCTCCCACTTTAATATCGCTGTCTTTCGCGCTCCGCTTCTGGTCCGCCCTCTCCTTTCCTTTCCATTTGTTGATGCAGTCTCTGTCTCTAGCCTCCGAATCGATTTGGTTCTCTGAAAGGTCTTCGATTGTAGGGATGTTGTCTCTGATCGTCCGACCATACATGAGTTTTGATAGTGTTTCCCCGGTTGTCCCGTGGGGCGTTACGTTGTATGCTAGTAGGAATTTCTCGATTTCTTTTTTATAGTCACTCCTGTTGGTGTGAGCGATCTTCAGGCGTTTTACCAGGGATCGATTCATGTTTTCAACCTCGCCATTTGCTTGCGGCCAGTATGGGGGTGAAGTTAACAGCTTGATGTCGTTCTTTCGGCAAAATCCCCGAAACTCCTCGCTAATGAATTGACGACCATTATCTGTTTTCAGAGATTTTGGTATCCCCAGTCTCGCGAACATGGCCTCCAGCGAGTTTATAATGGCCTCTGATGTGATCTTCTTCAAGAATACTGCTTCGACATATCGCGAGTAGTAATCTATTACCACTAGCACGAAATCCTGATTTGGTAGGGGTCCCACTAGGTCTGTTGCGAGGCACTGCCAGGGTCCCTCCGGAAACTTGTGTCTTTTCATCGGCACGGGACTGGCTGGTTGAGACACTAGCAAACAGTCTCGGCATTGTTTAACAAATTTTTCTGCCTCTCTATCTACCAGTGGCCACCACACCTTGGCGCGGATTCTGCGTTTCATTGCCGCCTCTCCCGGGTGACTCACGTGTGCCAATTCTAGGATTCGTTGTCGGAGTTTGCCCAGGATGACCAATCGGTTACCCCGCAGGAGGACATTTCCAACGGACGAGAGTTCGTCCCGGAAGGGATAATATGCGTTGTCCCTATGGGCTTCCCAGGAGTTGTCTTTCAGGTGTTTGATCGCCTCCGTTATTTCCTCGTCCCTTGCGCTTTGTTCTACAATTTGAGTGATAGTGAGACTCGCTGGGGTTGCTTGAGCTAAAATGTGAAAAATGTTATATTCGCCGTTTTCATCGAAGGAATTGACTCCTTCAATTTTGCAGAGTCGCGACACTGAATCCGCGATGTTTGTTTTTCCCGCTTTGTAGATGACTTTGAACTTGAATGATTGCAGCCTTAACAACCACCTTTCTATTCTTGCTGGAGGTTTCGACGTGGGTTTGAAAATGACCTCCAGTGGTTTGTGGTCCGTAACCAGTTCAAATTCTAGCCCTGCCAAATAGTAATAAAATCTTTCGACCGCCCAAACTAGCGCCAAGCTCTCCTTCTCTGTTTGTGAGTATCTCTTTTCTACTTCTGAGAGACTCTTGCTCGCAAATGATATTATTTGTGGTTTGTCTTTGTCAAATTGTACCAGCATCGCGCCGAGGGCTACTGGGCTAGCGTCCGCTATAAGTCTTGTCCGGTTTTCCGGGTTAAAGTACGATAGCTTAGGCACTCTAGCCACCGCGACTTTGAGTTTGTTAAACGCACCTTCTTGCTTATGTCCCCAGATGAATTTTTCGTCTTGTTTTAGTAGGTTTCTCAGTGGGTCGGTAAGGTCAGCCATGTCGGGGATAAATTTTGCCACGAAAGTTACCAGCCCCAGAAAACTTCTCAATTCCTCTTTAGTCGAAGGTGCCCTGAAGTCTGTGATGGTTTTCAGTTTGTCTGGGTCTGGAGTTATTCCATCTTTGGATAACGTATGTCCCAAGAATTTTAGAGACGTCGCTTTCCACTCACATTTCTTGTGATTTAAGAGTATACCGAATTTTCCACATATTTTTAACACTTGGTCAACTGCCTCGTCATGTTCCTTCTCTGTGCTCCCGAAAATGATAATGTCATCTATGTAATTAAGAGAGTTAGCACACGTGCCAGAAGTCCCTCCATGATCCTTTGAAAAATTTCGGGCGCTGAGTTTACCCCAAACATTAATCTCTTGTACCTGTATAGGCCTTTGTGCGTGATGAAAGTGGTTATCTCCCGACTGTTTTTATGTAGTTCTAACTGATGGTAGGCGTTTTTTAGGTCTAGTCTTGAAAAGAACACTGCCTTCTTCAGTTTGGTCATAAAAGTCTCAAACGTCGGGAGTGGGTAGTTTTCTCTCTTGATCGCTATATTCGCTCGCCGCATATCAACGCAGAGCCTTAGTTCGTTGATGCCTTTAATTACGGGTACTATTGGAGAGATCCAGGGGCTCGACTGGTTCGATTATGTCCAATGCCAAGGCTTCTTTAAGTTTCTCTTCGACGCGTTTTTCAACAGCTGGTATACGTCTGATCGGTTGTTGTACTGGTTTTATCGCCGGATCGATGAATAGCTTGACTTGAATGCCTTTGATTTTCGGGAACGGTTCGGTTGACTCAACTCGGTTTATGTTTAAACCTACTCTCAGGACCCCTAGTTTTACCGCTGTGAGTTTCCCCAATAGCGATTGATTTGCCTTTTTCACTACATAGAATGTGGCGATTTCCTCCAGATTTTCCCCCACTGTGGGTGCGTCAAACCCATATAAGATGTTGAGTGACGTGTTCGACGCATATGGACGTAAATTGACTGCTGGTTGGGAGTAGATATTCCCCAAAATGGTCCCTTTATTCTGTAGTTCCTTACCGACTTTTTCGGTCAAGAGGTTCAATCTAGATCCCGAGTCAATGACCATTGATATCAAACGACCTCCAATGCTGCATTCGATCATTTCGTTCTCGTCCCCGTCAACAGCTACCCGGGAGCATGAAAAATCTTCCATCTCAGTTTCGCCGTCGTCCTCTTCGCTCTCAATGCAGCGAACTCGAGCGGTGATTAGGCGTTTTCGTCGTTCGGTAATCAGTTTCCTCCGGCCCCCGCTTTGATTGTCTCGTCCTGCATTTCCTTGCGTAGTGGCCAATCAGAAAACATTTGGAGCATTTTACGTTCCTGGCTCGGCAGGTCATCTCCGTGCTCTTGTGATCCGTCCCCCCACAACGGCTACACTCCTCTTTCCAATTTCTTTTCAGGTTCTTTTTATCTCCCACTCGATTTACTGTGCCGAATTCCGTCTTCGGGGTCTCTAGTGTCTGTTCCATTTTCGGCGAGATGCCTCGCGTGTGTTCGATCACTTGTTCGTGGATGCGACCTACTGCAATTACCTCATCAAGCGTTTGTTCTTTCTCTAGCAGTTTCTTCTTGAGTTCGATGGGTGCCCACGCATCGATGATTTTATCTTTGATGTAAATTTCCTCGGTCTCTTTTGCCGAGGCGCCGAAATAACACCTGTTCGCTTGTTGTCGCAGTCTCAACACGAATTTGTTGAAGTTCTCTCCTTCTGTCGGCTTTAAACTGTTTGAAAACATGTCTTTCAAACGTCGAATTTCGAACCGGCGAAAAATGTTCACTTAACTTCTTCTTTAAGGTGTCGTAAACATCATTATTTTCAGCCGGGTTAAATTCGACCAGCGCTCCGGGGATACCGTAAATGACCTCCTGTAATTGCGGTCCCCCCCAGTGTAATAATTTGTTCCTTTTCTTTCTTGTATCGTCGATTTCCTCTACCTGTAAATACAGGTCAAAGGCCCTGATCCATCTTTCCCATTCGGTTCTCAGTAGAGACTTGTCGATGTCTTCGCATAGGAAGGGCTTCACCCCTTCTTTCGTTGTCGCCATTATTCCCTATAATTTTAATTTGATCAGATTACAGATTACAGATTACAGATTACAGATTACAGAGTAAAGGACGGCGCCCCCTAGGATATGTATCTAGTTCCTTCTAGGGCCCTACATCATGCGGGACCGCGCACGCGCCATGCCGGCCCCTAGCGAGTGTCGGTTGCACTCGCTGTTTCTGAGCCAAGGCGCATGCGCACCCCGCGCGATGCAGTATCCTAGTCCCTTTCCTTTAGTTTATGCCCACTTGAGTGTTACTAACCTCACCTGAGTTTCACGTGTAGTACCCGGTCGTCACGTGTTGCTACGTGTTGTTATGACGCACACGCCGTATTCGCCTTCTCGGCCTCAACCGTCTGCCTACCGATTTTCCACGGATTGGCCTGCGACAAAATTGAGATGTTATTATATGTATGCTTGTCGTATCACCCAGGGTGTCCTACCTTGTACACCTTTGTGTCGACTCAGCTCTCGCCTTTTCGGCCTCAATTGTCTGTCTGCCTACCGATTTTCACGGATTGGCCTACGACAAAATTGAGATACTGATATGTGCTCGTTTTTTTTTTTTTTTTTGTATACGATTGGATGTATTCTCCGAGGTATCTTACCTGCGTATGCCCTTTTTCTCCCTTGAATGGCCGACGGGCCAATCGAATGGCTCTTCGTCCGGCTGGCACTGTTTTCTTCGGTTAATTTTTCGCTCGTCGCCAGTGTAACGACCCGTGTCTTACTTATTCTACTACGCAGGATGGATTTTGGTAGAGGTGTAATGCACAACAATGACGCTCGTTCGTATACTCGTAATTCGCACTTTATTTAACTATG